CTTAAATTAGTGGGGTGCTGAATGCTGAGTTATTAGATAGTGCTGCTTTGGTAAATGAGAAGCCACCAAACACCCTGAAGTTTGAACACGAAAGTGAGCTTCAAATCAACTAATCATCTTCAAATTGGAGGGCTCTAGGTGTGAAACTTCAAGGAAGAAATCAACTAATAATTGCTATTTGAGGCCTAAGAGTGCTAGTGTAAGTGAAACCCTTCATCCCATTCCACCTTATTTTAGCATCCATTTTAACGATGGTCATGATTGTCACTTGAAACTATGGCTAATGGATGTGGCTGTTCCTTGGGAACATGAATCTTTGTTTCAAGAAATTGGAGCAATTATCTTGTAGTAGTACGTTTGCATCTTTTGCTCTTTTATGATAGTGTTAATTTTTACTTTTATTATTTTAAAGCTCTCTTAAACTGCTTGCTTCGTCTGATAATGGCTTTCTTTTAAATAAGCTATCTTTCTTTGTAAAAGTTACTTTTTATAGCTACTGCATTTGACGGATCCTTCAGTGAAGTCTATACACAAAATCAACAAATACTCAAAACTAATACACAATAAGATTGAACCATGCATGGGCAGGGCCACGCAAAGTGTGGCACTATACATTAGTATATATATAAAGACTAAAAATTTTAAAGAAATGTATGCTTAACATGTTGAAAAAAAATTTACATTATGAGCACCAAATGGACTTTTTTAATTTTAAAATCTTAAATAACTTGAAGCCAAAACTTGCTTACTTATTGTCTATCATTATCTGAAAGCAATTTGAATAAAATAATTTAACTTATAATGATTTACATGATAGAGGAATTGTTAATGCATTTAAGGAGAAGGTTTGATTGGGTGGTAAGATGAGAAGAAATTTCCAAAAAAAAAAACCAATTTACCAAAATCTGACAAAAGATATTATGTTATACCCATCTATCAAAACTTATAATATAAAAAAATAAATTATAACCAATTTATTTTTCTTCGATTTTTAGAAAAAAATTCTTTCTCCTATATACAAAATTATTTCGATTTGAAATATAAGCTCGTGCGTAGCACGGGTTAAAATGCTAGATTAGTATCTTGTGCCCCTAAAATTGTTGACTGCATCTATATTAGTATTTTTCATAGACTTTTACGTAGATTTAAAAAAAAATCTCTGTAATATGTGTTTTTAGAGTTCTCAAAATTATTAAAAACCACCACCCTTCCCTCATCTGTTAAGCGGCAATGTTACTTTTTTAAAATTTGTGATAGAATTGGTGTTGTTATTATCATTATCTTTTTTTTAATCAAAAATGAATATTTCAAATAAAAATTTCCACGTTAAAAGGCCAGTAGTACTTTGTTTTTTATTTAGAGATTTCATAATTTAGATTTCATAAATGATATCATTCTTGATTTTTTAAATCCACAACCAATGAATATTATTTCCTTTTTATTTTCTATATAATTTGGCCCTTTTAGTTAGAATTACTAAGTTAAAAGATAAAATATTGTCATTTACTTTTTTACTGGCAATGTTTTCTCTTTACTTACCCAAATTAAAAAGGCATGAAAGCCACTTCTTACTATAAGTGGAGCCACTTCTTACTTATTTAAATTCAAAAGGTATGAAAGCCACTTCTTACTTGGGAAAATTTTATTTGCACTCCATTTTTTATTACTTGCACTCCCACCATTTGTATTATCATATAGTCTAATTAATGAAAGCTATATGATTAAATGATCATGAAAGTGTGAATAACAAAAAAGGGACTATAAATAATATTTTCCCTTATTTAAATTAAAAAGACATGAAAGGATGTTATATTTGTTATCTTTTATTATGGTCTTATAGAAGTCTTAAATGGAGTAAAATCGCAAATAACGCATGCAATCGGGAAATGTGATGAGTTGAAATACGGAAATGTGGCAGTAAGTATAAAAAATAAGAGCAGAGCATGCATACTAATTAGATTAAATGGTGCAGAACATGCATACTAATGAGTTAAAATCGTATTTCAACTGCAAAGGATAACATGCACATGCACATTAACTAACAATTTGAAATGAAATGATTTTAAAAAGTAACCAACAATTTCAAATGTGAAGCGTAGATATTAGACGTGAGCAAATTCGGTACGTACCGAATTCATAACCGAATTCAAATTCAATTTGGTAATTTGAAATTGGGTATTTGGTAATTTTGGTACAAATTCGGTATTTACTGAATTCACCGAATTCTAATATGATATGAAATAGGTAATGAGATTATGAATTTGGTAATAATTGATTTCACATTCAAATTCGATAAATGAAATAGGGTACCATATTACCGCATTGAGCATCAAAGATAAATACTACTATAGTATATACTACTAATATATTTGGTAATTCAAATATTTAAATATTTGGTCATTTAAATAATATTTTCTATTTAGTATTAGTATATACTACTAATATATTATTATATTATATAGGTAAATGCTATTAATAATAGTTAATATATGGTATTATCATGTACTTATGGTAATAATAATATATAATAATGTATAATTTACTATTTTAGTATTTGTTAATTGTTATATGACTATAATAATACAAATATACAATAATACATAACATAACTATAATATTATTTTATACATGACTAGAATTAGATAATAGTTAATAACTATATGTATAATACTAAATATTAAATAATAAACATAATTAGTAATTAGAATTTAGATATTGGTAATTTGATACATCATTCATATTTGAATTATTGAATATTTGAATGCGTAACCTGTAACTTGCAATTATCCGTTTGGATTAGCTGTTTTTGGGGGTGTTTTTGAAAAATTTTGTTATAGCAGAGTTTTTAGATTATATTTTAGGATATTTTTAGAAAATATTTTGGGATATTTAAGAGTAGAAGAGTTTCTAGAATATATTTTGAGATATTTTTTAAAATTTTTTTTAAAATTTAAACTAATTTTTAGATTACATTTTGGAGTACTTTTTAAAAATTTTTATTGTATTTGAAAAACTATTTTTTGAAAAACACTCCCATCCAAACATATTTGTACATATGATATGAATTGCAAACAGTGTAAGTGAATGCATATGAATTGCAAATCAATGTATTAGTGTATTGACTTTCACAATAATATAAGTAAGTAAATAAGTTGTATTTTGATTTGAAATAAATTATAAGTTTGTAACTTAGTAACTTATCACTAATTATTGTAAATTATAAATTTGTAACTAATATAACTTATCACTAATCATTGTAATTTGTAAGTTTGTAACTAATATTACTTATTATTAATCATTGTAAATTATAAAATTGTAAATTATCACTAATCATTGTACAGTCTAAGGTGTATTCTAGTTTAAATTAATCACATTTTATGTATTCCTTAAATCATAGACTGAGGATTCTAGGTATAAGTGATCAAATAAATGCTAATTAAACGACAAAATAATTAGAACATAAGTAATGTGTTTAATTATGAATAAATTTGGGGATCAAATCAGTAATAATTTTTAAATCATTAAGGAGCATAATGAATGTATTATAATTTAGGACCCCCAATTTGTAAATTAAAAATTACACAATCACTGCCTTCAGGTGAATTTGGGACTTTGGGTCGGACACTTCGCACTTCACAGTTCACACTCGCAAATTAACTCATTCCTAATTTCTCAAGTCACAATTCTGAATTTCCAAATCCCATTATCTTACATATATATAAAAACATAAGACTTTGGCACCACATGTTCGAAGGAAACTGGGGAACTTTAAAAAAGTTGTATTGAAATTGTGGTGAATGTCAATTAAGCCCTTGAGTTTTGATTGTTTTGACAAATAGTGCTCTACTATTCATGGGCATTTTTGTTTGCCCAAGTGTTAAATGTCCACTAAACCCTTCAGGGATAAAAGGAGGCCAGAATAGTTTCTAACTGTTGTGGGTACCATTGTAATTTTGAACCATATTCCCTTTTTTATTGTGTTTTGTTAGTTGCATTTGTTAGCATAATAAAGATTGTTCTGGCAACTTTCTGCCGTTAGATCGTGTCTTAGTCTAAGATTGATGCCCGAGAACCGTTGGATCATTCCTAATGATGATTAAAGGATTGATTGTTTTCCTTACCTGGCTTCTCCCGTCTCTTCTCTGTTTCTTCTCCCTGTTTCTCTTCCTTTTTGATGCCTGACAATCACCACAATTTCTTTCTTATTTTGACTGTAGATTTCTTCCTTTTATCAGGTATTTACTAGGGGGTTATCGGCTGTGCTAAGCACAGCCTAGGCCCCCTATAATCTGTTGGCAAATAATAACCAATCAAGTATGTAGCTAAGAATATGAGACTAAACAAAACATCACCAATCATTAGTATTGCAACAGATAAGAGAAGATGACAAAAGGTTGACAAGTAGTTTCATAAATAGCTTAACATCTTCAAATATAAAGTGCAATCATAGGCTGCAATTACAAAAGATCACATATTGAGATCCATTAAGGTGCACAAAAGGACAATTTCTTAATGGATGTCAATATTATGTCAAAAGATGCAAGATTAGGAATGCAGCTGTAAAGTGTTTTAACATTAGCAAAATGAACAATTCAAAAGGCTTCAAGGAAGTTCAGAGTTCATCGTCACGCCGCTTCTTCAAGGGACTTCCAGGTGCATTGGTGGACAGCAAGGTAGGTGTATTAGCTTCAGCAGAATCCAAACCAATTCCAGGAGGCACAGTTCCAAAAACCAAGGCCCTCTTTGCTGTTGTCACTGCAGGCGGCAGTTCATTTGCAGCAGTAGATGATTCAGCAATGGCATCAAGGATTTTTTTGGTTGATGGACTGAAAAATTCAGTTTTCTTGGTAGGCTGCAGGACAGTAGCTTGTTGGTCTGGAATTATTTCATTCGTTTCTGCAGTTGTGATGGCCATTGGAATGTGAGCTGATTCCTCGGCAGTGTATGCCTTGACAATATTATACTTGCCTTCCTTCTGGCCTTGATAATTTGACTCATAGTAGCGAATGAAACACACAATTGCATGCTTTCCAAGTGCAGATGCTAGTTCAGCAGAAAAGTTAAGCTCCTGAATTTTTTTGTTTTATAGTATAAATAATTAGCAATGATATTCAAATTCTGAGTAACTTCATGCTGTATAAATAGAACTGGATCCAAGCATAAGTTATGGAAGGAAACAAAACATATTATACCCAAGAGATTATGGAATAACTGTGAAAGATGGCAAGACCAAATAATCTTTTGTTTCTTACTATCATAACACTTTTACATGGTGAGAGCAGCATTGATACCAAAGAAAAGAAGCGTAAGAATCAGATTATTCGATAGTTATTACCATTAGAGCTCAATGAACTAAATAAGACTCACTTTTTTTTTTTGTATTCGGGTAAAGGCCTAAAAAGGCTGAAATTTTTTGAGTTCATTTGGCGCATTAATATAGACCAGGAAAAGCAACAAAGGAGAGATGTTGCAGTTGTTGTATGAACAGAAAGTCACTTGGTGAGAAGAAGGCAGAACTATTTGACTGATTATCTGGATGAAAACGAAATCTACCAAAGTGTGGTTTATTTTTATCAGGGGTGGATGATGAGACAGCTGAGAAGCTATAAAATACTTGGGAGCTGGGACTGCCATTGATCTCCACTAAGTTCAAATTCAAAGACTCTCAACCTAGTTTTATTAAAATTCAACAAAGAGTTCATAGTTGGACAACTAAGAAACTCAGCTATAGGGTTAGAGTGCAGTTGTTATAATCAGTTTTGAGTGGCATATATGTTAATTGGGCAAGCGTGTTCATACTCCTTAGTAGTTTTTTTTTTCCTATGGTCTGGAGAGATTTAGGATCATTTTATAGCTAGATTAAAATGGTCAGATATTTAGGGGTGAGATGGATCGGCTCTGTCATGCTAAACAAATGTAGCTTCTGGGACCTTAGAATCTCTACCTAGTGCTTCTGGATATGGAGGAAGATTCTTTAGCTCAGACACTTGTACAACCCCTGATTAGTTTCGATATTGGTGACGGGAAGAGCATCTCATTCTGGTTTGATAACTGGTTTCCTTGGTAAAGGTTATCTAGAAAATTAAGGTTATCTAAGCTATCCAGAGTGGTTGATTTGATACAGGAATTGGACTACTGGGAGAAGGTTTTGAGCTCAGGTGCGAGAGTGCAAACAGTGTTCCAATTCTAACTGCATTCTCAGTTTGTGGCTTCAGTAACTAATAGAAAAGGCTACAAGCATGAAAGTTCAAATTAGCAGGCAAACCAACTGGCTGAGCATCTCAGACAAAAAACAACCCAAAAAATGGAAAACAAAGATGAAAGTGGCAATTCCATATAGGAAATTATAATTGACAGCAGAAATATAGGCACATGAAGTTCATTGTAGCAGAAATATAGGCACAAGATTGTTAGCTCACCTCAGTATGAGCTTCCCAGAATTGAAGTGCTGTAAATGGGATAAGCTTTTCAGCATCAAGGCCAAAGATAACGGTATTTATGGAGCCCGTACCATCATCAACAGCAATCCCAACTCGGGTCCTATTACATATTGGAAATAAAATATTATATTCTAATTCATTGCAAGAGAGGGAAAGTTAATTCGGTAATTACCTTGCTATAACTCTGCTCTCTTCTTTGCAAGATGAGCATCTCATAACCCATCCTACGTCAACATTGATAGGCTTTTGGCAGTTCTCACATGCTTCAAACCAGAACTTTTGTTGTCTAGGGGACAAATTGATTTTTCCGGTTATCCAAGCTGTTTTCACCTAATAGATGTTTTTGTGAACAGAAAGAAGAACATATGAGTTTTGCATTATTTTGGATGGGTAAAAGATATAAATCAGGTCATAAACGAAAAAAGAAGATACATCTTTGAGTGTGTTGAGTGCATTGGCTACACTGATGATGTCGTTAGAACTTGGAGGTGGCAGCAGCTTAGATGAATCTTTGTATGCCATTTGTTGTATCAATTCTGCAATTTCTTCTTTATTTGCATTATACCTATCCAAGAAATGAATGCAACAGACTATAATTTATCAAAAGGATCTAGAAAAGTTTAAGTAAAATGATCAAAGAACATGCGTACCAATCTTTGAGTGCATTTGCTTCAGAAGTGGGAGGATTAATCAGAAGGCCACTCCCAGGCTTGGTTGTCAGGGATAAGTCTAATAGTAAAAGCAATAATTTTCATTAAGTAATAGAGCAATTTAAAAGACAGTGATAGGCTGAGTTATTGTAACTGGATGACTATCATTGAAGTATAAGCTGTTAAAAGTATATTAACTTCACTTACAATTAAAAGTTGTGATTTTCAACTTCATGCCAATGATAACGTTGGCATTCCCAATACTGTTTGCAAGCTGTGTTCCCTGATTTTGTTCGAACTCATTCCAAAGAGTAAGAAGCATTGGCTTTTTCCTTTACAAAGAAGAGGAAAAACAGGGGAAAATGTGAATGGAACAATTTTATGCATTGAATAGGAATATTAAAAGTAAGGTCTATATAACTAACTCTTCATTCACAACAATGAAGCCTCTTGTTGTACACCCGTTATTCTGTTCCTTTGTCGCAAATGCAGTGACAACAACAGCTTGTAAATTTTAGTACAAACCAAAAGAGAAGAGGTTAGATGTGTTTCAATAGCTAAAGAAAATATGAAAATGAATTTATATTTCAATTAGTAAAGCATAGATATAACTTACTCTGAACATTCTCTGTGTTTGCGAACCTAAAAAGGTCTTCAAATTTGGTGAATTCAAAAGTGCATGGTAGCAGTGGTGGATTTGGTTCGACACACTCTTCAACTAATGTCTTGTTATGAAGCATCCATGAGAACTGATAGTCACTAACTTTATACTTTGCATCCTGTTTTTTGACAATCCCACCAGTAATATAGTATCGCTTGAATGGTTGAAGCAGATTAGAAAAATAGCGAATGTCATTTCCATAAATGACAGCTGAAACCAGAGTCCCCTGTTCATAGAAAGAACCAAGATGAGCAATATTAACCAAAAGGCTGAAGTAGAACACTTAAGGTAAGAAACATACAACAGGAAGTATGCAGAGGGTTTTTTTTTTTTAAGGAGGAAGAGGGGGAAGAAAACATATAACAGCAATGTTTGAGTTGGAAGAAGCAAATCACTAAGAATAACCAGAGACATTTATGAAGGAAAATGGTAGAAAAATGAGAAGAGAATTTGACAAGAGACTGCTATCAACTAATGTTATCAACAGACTGCCATCATTTGCCTCAATTCTCTATAAAGGGAAAGAAAGTATTTCAGATACAGGGATATGTAACAGGAGAAAAAGCGGGACTCTTCGAAAGAATCGAAGCAGAAAAAATCTAAATGCTTTCTGTATAGATACTTTAGCAGCTATTGGCCACGTTAGTAGCAGGATTTTTTTTAGATTCTTTTCCTTCTTGAAAATTTCAAGAAGTTCTCTGTACTTCGTAAGTCCAGAGGAGTAAAATTGGGAACAGGTAAACTTCTGTATTTTGTTTTAGTCATTGAACGCACATTGAGGCACTCAAATGCATCCAAGCTGTAACATTTTCAAATCACTATATATGATCTCCCATAGAGAAAGTTATACTGATTAGGCATATATCATTGGTTAATAACAAGTCTTGGAATATTATAGGGTAGAATCATGTAAGTTAAATCAGAATTTCACTATAGTCAATTGGCCTGAAATTAAATTGCACAGAGGATGATTAATGATCTGGACATGTTGATGATTTAGGAAATGTTAAATTGCCAAGATTAGTTTGAGCTTATATTACCTCAGAATCTGTTAACACGAGACGCTGAAATCTGATAGGCGGCGATCTGTTACTGGTTAACACGTGCGATTTCTCCACAACTTGCACAAGCACTGTCCACCTTCTCATCTTGTCGTTGACTTCATGCACTGATAGACATCTCCTTGCCATTGTTATCTATAATAATGAGAGAGACACATAATCAGTTTGTAAGTTAAAAGAGAAATTCTGGAACATTCAGGAAAATTGAAACTAAATCCTAAAACAACATATTTACTTGGCAGCTATGCGAGAAGTTTCAAGAACTTCTCTAAATACAATATTTTTTGTCTGGTCTGTTCTAGGCTTGTCAAAAAAGCGAGGTTTAATGAGCACTTTGACTTGAGAAGCAGTTCTTGCTCGTGATAATGCAACATAGAGCTGCCCATGGGAAAACACCGGTTCCTTCAAATAGATACCAACATAATCAAGCGTTTGTCCTTGAGCTTTGTTTATTGTCATGGCAAAGCACAAGCGAATTGGAAACTGAGTCCTTGTATATGGAATAGGATATTGTTCATCAGTTGGAGGTTGTACGGGAATTCTATGGATGAAGACATCTTTTCCAGCAAAATCTCCTACAGCTATTTGAGCATGAATGACATATTTGCTCAAACTTTTACAAATTAATCTTGTTCCATTGCAAAGACCCTCAGTAGGGTCGAGGTTCCTAAGCAATATCACAGGAACACCAGGTTTCAAGATTAGCTTATAGGGTGGAAGGCCACTGGGAGATAAGGAGTTTAAAAAATCTTCATATTGAACTTGGTTGTTTGGATTCAAAGCTCGGTCGAAACTCAGATATTGTACTGCTGTACCTGGAAATTTATCAATTAAGATATCATTCACTTCATCCACAAAATGATTCTTTGTAGTGAGGATTGCTCGATTTAATGGCAAGGCAGGATTTTCTGATCTATAATGGATGTGGGGATAAACCACATCTATCAAGTCATGAAGTGATGCATTCTGTGAACCGTTGCTAACCAAAATAGAAGAAGGCAGGTGTATGAGACTGTCATCTTCAGTTTGGTCAGTGCCATCACCAACCCTTAATAAGTAATCAGTGAATGAGGGATCAAATCGAGCCCTCATGTTTTGTGTGAGCTCTAATTTTTCAAGAGCTGGCTAGATAGGGGAATTAATCAAAGAAGCAGCAATGGTTTCAGGTTGGCTTCCCTTACGAACTACTGGTAAGGTTTGCCTGAAATCACCCCCAAGAACAATTACTTTCCCACCAAAAATCTTATCTGAATTCATAAGATCTCTAAGAAAATCATTTAAAGCTTCAATCGCAGATCTCTTGCACATTGGAGCCTCATCCCAAATAATTAATTTGCATTCCTTAATCATACTTGCCAAACTGCTTTGCTTACTAATTTTGCATGCTCTACCCTGTGAGGTATCAATTGGTATTTTAAACCGAGAATGAGCAGTTCTACCTCCAGGTAGTATTGATGCAGCGATACCTGATGTGGCTGTCGCTAATGCTATATATCCCTTTGATCTAATATCAGCTAACAACGCTCTATAAAGAAAAGATTTTCCAGTTCCACCAGGGCCATCAACAAAAAATGCACCACTCTTATTTTCATAAACTCTTTTAGATATAACTTCAAATGCATGCGTTTGGTTCAGATTAAGCAAAGAAATTGCATTTAAGTCCTCTTCAAGAACTTTTATGTTTTTTTCAGCCAATACATCTCTTGTTTGGTTGTCTACATCTGAGAATGAGAAATTATTAGGAAGTAAGCCAAACGAAGCTATATTTTTTCCCATTGACTGTAGAAAACCATTTATTTGCTCTAAAACTTTTCGTTTGATTTCTGTAGGAGACAAAGCAGTATTTCTCATGAAATCTTCGGACATGACAGCCTCAAATTTTGTCCATAGCTGTTTGGGGTCATTAGGACAGGAATAAACTAATAGCGTAGCAAAAAGTCGTCTCATTTCATAAGGCATATGAAAAAGAGACGCTTCTTGTAGGCAAATTTCCTGGCTATTATCATTCTCAAGAAGGCCACGTAAGAGAGCTGCTTCACGAAAGGTGGTAACTTGCACTCCATTGTGAGTCATTAAGTCTTCAAAAGACTTTGGAGCACGAACTTTAGACAAAAGAAGTCTAAGGTAATATCTTTCTCCCTCAGATGGATGAGCTGTATTTATTCGGCCTATAGAATCTCCCCTATCTTTAATTTTCCAGCGTTTTTCTTTAGCTAACCAGACAAAATGGTCTGGAAATTGAGCGTATGTGCAATTTAGTTCTTGTGCAACTGAATCTGTTCTATTCATATAGAAAAATTCAGTCAACATTGTCTTCCTATTTCTTGGATTTTTGACTATGTTATTTAAATTCTCATGCTTCTTGAAGTGAATTGGCTAAAAATTTGGAAGATGCAATTGAAGGTGAATGATAGCTGGTTTAATTTCTCCCATGGAAAAGCGAAATAGTCTCCAAACAGCTTCAGGCGGGGAAACCCACCGAGCTGCCTGATATTGCTGAATTTCATCAATCTGATTGTTTGGATTATCAGAATTGATATGGAAACTGATTCGATCATGGCCTTTGCAGATATACTTGTAAATATATTTGACAGCCTGAATTGTTGAGCAGATCTCAACATTAATGTGGCAATTGAACTTAGCAAGTAAATATGCATTATGAGGAACAACCCATGTATTATCAAGTTTTTGTTTTCTGACTTTAATTTTAACACCATTGTTTCTTCTTCGGTATAGTGGATAGGAATCTAGCGTCTGAATTGTATGCTCAGAGTACTCTTTTGGATAAGAATTTTTACAGCAGCCATGCTTAGTCATGCAAACATTTGATGGGTTCAACACACCACAAGGACCGTGCATCATGTGTTTTTTAACCATTCTGTACAGGTGCGGATATTTTGTTTTATCTGGAATTTCTGCACTGACAATTTTATCATATTCATCAGGGATGAACATTTTGTGCTGAGGCTTTAAGATTAAAAGAAAATGAACATGTGGCAGGCCTCTTTTTTGAAATTCTATCACATATGTATAGGCTGCCACTTCTCCAAAAATATTTTTCTTCAAAAGTTCATTCTTTAATTCTTCTAGTTTAGCACGAAAGACCCTTACAACCAAATCTGGTCGATTTTGGGCTTCCTCTGTTGGCAGTAAATGTTCTTTTATTTCCGGCCAATTGGGATTGCAAGTCATGGTCAAGAATATATCCGGCTTGCCAAATTTTTGGACCAAAGTCATTGCATCTATGTATTTTCTTCTCATATTTCTTGGTCCTCCAATAAAGCTAGCTTGTAAAAATACTCTTTGACCGACATTTGCTGCCCAGACTTCACCAGTACCTATTGAGTCTACTATACCTTGTAAGAATTCTTTTCTAAATTCTTCTTGCTGGGTTCTCAAATAATCTAATCTTTGTGATTCAAGTTTAACATACATATCAACAACATATTGCTGAAATAGCCTACCAAAGTGCAGTAAGAAAGATTCATCATCATTTCTCATTTGCAATTTATAGGCATAGTATTCACGGATGGAAACGAAATCAGGATCGCCGTCTATTCCTGCCATTACTGGTTGAAGGAATTTAGAAAAAAGGTTAATGAGGCTGGTATGCTAAAATTAATAGAATACAGGTGGAAAAGATTTATTCTACTTACAGTCTTGTTCCATTTGTATTAACTCTTCGGCAGTAGAAGCATTCATTGGAGAAATAGAAATTTGAGCATCCCTTTTCCTAGTCTTTTTTTTGTGCACCTTTTTCAAGTATTTTTTAATCCCTTGATGCCAACCAGCTTCACCAAAAGGAAGCAAAAGAGGGTACTGGAGAGGGTCATAACAGCCATAGTAATATTGGATATTGTGTGAATGGCCACCATGGGTGTACACTCGAATATCTCGACGGCTTGTTTCTCCATTTTCTTCTCCTTCTACCCATAAAGCAGCAACTTGGGACACTGTAGGCTTATTGAATACTCTTTGGTCTAAACCAATGCGATAAGTATCAAGGTTATGAACTTCTCTCAAGCCGCGAAAGAATCTAGCATAGGGATTTTGCTGCATGAGATTCATGGTTTTTTGGAGAATACTCTCAGTTAATCTTGGGTAGGCATCTAATCGATTTGCTAATTCATTTTCACTGTCATGAAAATAGAATTGCAAATTTTTTGAGGTCTCTAAATCATTGATGAAATGATAGACCTGACCTTGCACTTTAAAAGTATAAATGCCCTTATTTCTCTTAGCCAAATTTTTATCACATTTCACTCCAAAGGAAGTGAAAGCAAATGTGTTATTAATTGTTCTAATACAGGTCCTAAATAGTTGAGCTTCCTCAGATGTTGACATAAGAAGTTCTTTTAGAACAGTTGGGATTGAATTGCTAGCTAAAATAACATCCCCATTAGAATAACAAAAATTTGCTGTTTCATGAGCAAA